CTTTTTGTACAGTACAATCAGTTTTTCTAGAATATTCATTTATTTCTATTAGTTACATTAATTTCCTCTGAGAAATTGGCTACTATTCAACTGTCAAACAACACTCTAGCAACAATCTTATTTACCATGTGTGTATTAGTGGAATTGATTATTTGCCTTCTTGAGAAGGGCCTGAGCATTCCTGGTACTAGGCTGGATTTAGATATTAAAAACCCTCTTTTCCACATCGTGAGTACCAGACCTCTGAAACAAGTCTTGTTGCAGTGAGAGGGCAGCTGCTGTCAGCCAAGTCTCTGTCTGTTACCTGGGTCACAATTTGAGCTGTGCATGGGAAACTAAGCAGCCATGGGGGCAGGAGACCTCCCTCAGAATGGGAGAAGGTTCAGGCACCTGCCACGTTGCAGGGGGTAAGGATCTGTGTCCCACCTCTGTTGACCTCCAAGTTCTCTCCTGATGGCCCCTCTGCAACTGTGCCTGTCTTAGGTTGTTCCTTCCCTGAGGAATCTTACCCATCTCTGGTTAACCAGCCATCCTCTAGGGCCAAGCAGGGTGATGTGAGTTTTGGTCTGTCTCCTTGGTAGCCTATGCCCCCATGGGCTCCACGCCCAGCACCTGCCTTGGGGACCCCTCACCTGCTGGTGAGGCCTGGGCGCTGATCTCATATTTTTAGGAACCCATGTTTCTTCTCCAGAGAGGGTCCAGCTCACCCCACTGGGCAGGAGAGAGATGCATGGTACCAGCTACCATGATGTTTCAACCTTGGCATGAGCTGAAAGGTCAGGTAACAGTTGTGGTCACCTGGATCTACATTATAAAATTTCCAAAAGTCTCCTATTATTTAAATTAAATAAGGGGGTGACAGTGGAAGAATATCATGTAAGGAAAAATATCCTGTGAATAATTTACATCTAAAAAATTTGTAATTTAGAAAATTAACCTTCATTAGAAACACTAACAGAAAGATACCCATGAAAATACACACATGGTGTCAAAACAAGCCAGAGGAAAATCATTGGGGGAGGGGAGAGTGGGAAGAAAAAGGTTCCCAAGTCAAACTTATAGAAAATATCCCTTTATTAACTTTTGGTCAAGAATATGTTTGTATATTTCAGAAAACAACTCCGAGACCATCTGGAATCCTGTAACAGAGAGGAATAGACAGAAGTGCTCCAGCCATGAAGACAGAAGAGACACAATTCAGAGATGGAAGATGCTGACGACACCTCGCTGTACCAGCAGACAGCATCTCGTCGCTGGAGGATGCCCAGGACCAAACCAGAGACAGTCAGACCTGCATCACCACCGTTTGGCCACCAACCAGTTCTGAAATAGCATGGCTGACATGTGTACATAAGGAACTATTTGACATTGAAATTGGGACTCAAAAGAACTGTTGGTCCAAAAAGGAACTCACTGCAGACTGATTCATTTGCCTCTCAGCATAACCATTATGGCTTGTCTCAGTCTAGGTTCTTACAAGGGTATTTCTTAGATCACATGCTATTACACATCTAGAGGAAATGATGAACAACATAGACTGATGAACAAAAACAGACTTAGAGAAAGAGAAGCACTGAACAGACTTTCAAACCTCAGAGGGAAAGTAGGGGAGGGTGGGGGTAAAGGGGAAGAGATCAACCAAAGGATTTGCATATGGGCCTGGCCAGTGGCCATGGACAAAGGGGAGGGGTGTGTGTGTGAGGGCATATGTAGGGAGGGGCTTGGGATGGGATTGGGGGGGATGAGGACAATTATGTGATACCATAATCAATAAAAAAAAATGGGAAAAAATAAAATAAAATTTAAAGAGAGAGAGAGAGAGAAAAAAAAAAAGACTGAAAACTCTGCTGGAGTCACCTGCTTCTGTTTAATCCTCTTCCTACTACTACTAACCAGCTCTGATACCCAAGGCTGGTTATTTATCCGCTCTGTGTCTCTGTTTCCTCAAATGTAAAATGAAATGACCCCCATAAAATCATTGGGAGGATTATATGAAGTAATACTTGTAAATCACTTATGACAATGTCTGGCACAGACAAAATGTTTAATAAATGCTAGTGAGAGCACTACATACCTCTTTGAATCTAGCTTATGACCTAGTGATGTGCCACAGATATTTGTTAATTTTCTAGAAGCATGTTAACTGGAATCCACTGAGAGTCAGAAGGGGAAAGTAGTAAGTTTTAGTAGAAGTACAGAACAAATGTGAATTGCTCTAAGAAAAAGCACAAGATTCCACAGAAATGATTGACTATGTTCTTTTCACAATTTACAACCACAATTTTTTTTACCCCCACTGAGTAATTTTCATAGCAGTTCCAGTGAGGTACATGAATACTGAGTCTACTAGTTTATTTCATTGGTCCTGGTTTCCTTTGAATAGGGAACCACTAAAATTAAGACAGATGCATTTTTTTTTAAAACTATGTAGATTAAAAGAGGGAGTGGGGTCTGGAATCTGCATTGAGCATTATTTTCCTGCTGAAATACATGTATTATACATCTCCATATGTGTCAGATACATACACACAATGCACGAGGATAACTAACATTGCTGTTCACTAAATATCTTCCAACTGTGCCCACTGATGTAAACTAGCAAGTTATTTTTATAAATTGGATATGGTTGATTATTGGACCAGAGGGCTTACACAGATGAATGATTTCTTGAGAGGCCTCCACCACTGCTTTTGGGAATAAGACCACCCAAAGGAACTCCAGTGACGCTGTATTGCAGACACCCTCCCCTTCGGAAACCTAAATACTTCCTCTCTGTAAAAAATCAATAAAATATATTTTAAAAAATATATCTTGGAGAACATGAAACAAGGCAACAGAGCCTGTAGTTTTGAGAGCATTTCCCCACACAGAGCACTGTTTTACTTCTCACGATAAACTTATAATAGAGAAAGCAGGTCCTTTTACTCCCGTTTCTTAAGATGTAAATTAACGTTTATACAGGCACAGGGAAGCCGGACTCTGAAGGCCAAGTCTAGCATCCTAATGTCACAGCCTTGGGACTCTGCAGGGATGAACTGGGAAGCCAAGTGGAATTGCCGCTGAGAACTGCACCTCAGAAAAGCTTTGGTTTCTGTCCCTACATTTCACAGATAATTTCCTGAAGCAAATATATACCATGGTCACAATACACGAACATTCTGATTTAAAAAAATAATAAGTCGCCCTAGCTGGTTTGGCTCAGTGGGATAGAGCGTAGGCCTGTGGACTGAAGGGTCCCAGGGTGAATTCAGGTCAAGGGCATTTACCCGGGTTGCAGGCTCCATTCCCAGTTTGGGATGTGCAGGAGGCAGCCAAACAATGATTTTCATCATTCATGTTTCTCTCTCTCCTTCTCCCTTTCACTCTAAGATTAAAAAAAATATATATTTAACAAAATAATAAGTCATGCTTGTGTATCTGCAGAGTAGGTTTTTGTTTTTTGTTTTTTGTTTTTTTAATTTCTTTCTTTCTTGAAGTAGCCTGAAAACAGTTCCCCCTTTCTGTCTTTCAAAGCATATCTTCACTGAAGTTAAAACGCAAGGCTCTTACTAGTAAGAGCATTTCTGAGTCGCTTGGGCCAGCAGCTGCGTTCCAGCTATCCAGAGTAACTAATTAGTAACTTACAGGTCTTTTCCCTCTTCCTTCGCAGCGCTGCCTTCCAGCCTGGAGATTACCTTGCCATCCCCCACCCCTATCCTCACCCCCACCCCCGCGCCCCTTCCCACCCCCAGCTCCGGAGCCTGGCAGTTGCCCGCTCCTGCGCTCTGGACAGCGCCGCCTGGGTGGCCGCTCTCCGGCAGCTGCGTTCTGTCCACCAGGAGTGACGTCCCCACGATGTAGCCATAACCAGACGATGTCCCCACGGACTGCTGTGGCCCGATTCCCGCGCATCCCCCCTGTGGGAATCGGGCTTTTCCTGGGAGAAAACACCAGGAATCCAGTTTAGAGAAAACTTCCTAAGTCTCCTCCCACCACGGGGGAAACTGGAAAACCGGGAGACAACCCTCTCCCCGGCTGCAGATACACGCCCGGCGGCCACGAGGGCTGCGGTGGGACGAGTGAGTGCGTCCCTGCCCTCTGCAAACCTGGGCAGGGTAACCGGGAGCCAGCCAAGAAGGTCCCGGGAACGCGCACCCTCTAAGCCACCCGTTGTTACTTGGCAGAGGAGGGTAGGGAGTGGCGAGGCAGGAAGAGAGAGAATTCCCGGGAATAACCCGGGTCAGGCTCCCCCGCACTCCGGAGTGAGACCTGGCCGGAGGAGGCGGCGTCCTCCGGTGTCAGGCGCAAGAGCGGCGCGCCCGGCAGACAGAGTGGACTCGGGGTTTCTAGGAAAGGGACTGCCCACGTCTGCTTAAGTCAAATGCAGGGCTGAGGTGGCCATGGAGGGGGGCTTGAGGGAATGGTGGCAATCCCAGAAAAGGCACGGCACGTCCTGTGCGCCTTGATTTTTGGAACAGAAGAGCGGGAACGCGATAGGATCCCGCCTTTTATGCGGAGGAATAGGCACGTCTCCTGGTCCCACCCACCCCTGCAGCTGTGATGCAAAGAGGACAAGTCGCCGACGTAAAGGCTGGAAAATCATCCCCCCTCCCCCCCGGAAAAGGGGTAGGGAGGTGGGGAGAGTAGGCACCGAGCAGTCTCCAACCACTGGGGTGAGAGAGCGCGCGTTCTGGGGAAGCAAACCCCGCCTAAATAATTGAGTTAGGAGCCCATTGCTTCCAGAGGCTCGGGGCGCACCTCCCCAGCTTCCTCCGAGGTGAGTAAGGGGGAGAGCAGGAACGGAGAGCAGCGCGGCTGGCCGCTGGGACGCTGCGCCCGGAGACAGACAACTGCGGGAGGGAGAGCGGAGCCCCCTGAACGAGCGGAGCCCCCTGAGCGAGCGGAGCCCCCGGAGCGAGCGGAGCCCCCGGAGCGAGCGGCGGGCGCGGGCCGGAGAGAGCGCGGCGGGTCCGGAGCGCACGCCCACGGAGGCCGGGAGAGAGCGAGCCTCCCCGGCCAGGATGCGTTTCGCCAGGGGCAACTCCAGCAGCGGGGACAACGCCACCCGGGGGGCAGGCGGGGGTCCGCCGAGGGACGCGCGCGACGAGGAGCTGGCCAAGGTGGAGATCGCCGTGCTGGCCGTGACCTTCGTGGTGGCGGTGCTGGGCAACAGCAGCGTGCTGCTGGCGCTGCACCGCACGCCCCGCCGCAAGACGTCCCGCATGCACCTCTTCATCCGCCACCTCAGCCTGGCCGACCTGGCCGTGGCCTTCTTCCAGGTGCTGCCGCAGCTGTGCTGGGACATCACCTACCGGTTCCGGGGCCCCGACGGGCTGTGCCGCGTGGTGAAGCACCTGCAGGTGTTCGCCATGTTCGTGTCGGCGTACATGCTGGTGGTGATGACGGCGGACCGCTACATCGCCGTGTGCCACCCGCTCAAGACGCTGCAGCAGCCCACGCGCCGCTCGCGCCTCATGATCGCCGCCGCCTGGGCGCTGAGCTTCGTGCTGAGCACGCCGCAGTACTTCATCTTCTCCATGTTGCAGGTGGACAACGCCACGGGGGCCCGCGACTGCTGGGCCACCTTCATCCAGCCCTGGGGGCCCCGAGCCTACGTGACCTGGATGACCAGCGGTATCTTCGTGGCGCCCGTGGTCATCCTGGGCACCTGCTACGGCTTCATCTGCTACCACATCTGGCGCAACGTCCGCGGCAAGACGGCGCCCCGAGGGGGCAAGGGGGGCGCCGCCGCCCAGGGCTCCTCCGGTGGCAACGGCGGCGCCTTCCACAACGGGCTGCTGCTGGAGCCCTGCGTCAGCAGCGTGAAGATCATCTCCCGCGCCAAGATCCGCACCGTGAAGATGACCTTCGTGATCGTGACGGCGTACGTCGTTTGCTGGACGCCCTTCTTCGTCGTCCAGATGTGGTCCGTCTGGGACGAGAACCTCCACTGGGTTGGTAGGTGTCGGGACCAGGGAGGAAGGCTGAGGCAGGGGGTAGGGTGTGTGTGTGTAGGGGGTGGGGGGTCTTCCCATAATATCCCCTAGGACCATTGTTCTTAAATTTCTGTGCGCATGAGAATTACACCTTGGCTGAAATTCTCAAAAGGGCGTATTCCTGGGGTCTTCAGCTCAGACAGTTTGATTCGGTAGCTTTGGAACGGGACCCAGGAATCTGCATTTGTAGTTTGCAGTGATTCCAAGACCACAAATCCAGAAACCATGCCCTAAAGTGAGCCACACAACTCCAAGGCAGGCTGGCTTTCTTTTCCCTCAATAAACTTTAATAATTCTCCTCCATAAAGGCCTTCATGTGTTGTATTAGATTTCTCCCTACTAAAATATTCTTCACTTATGTGAAGGTATGTTAATGATTTCCATTCTTTTTTGAATATTCTTAGCCTTGGATAATGACCACCTTTAAAAGTATAGCATTTTAGCACAAAGTATAATTAAATAACCTGTAATTTATTCTGGCATAGCATGAGTGAGAAGACCCAGGCTTGTATTTGATAATCAAGAGAAAGTCAGTGCTTGCTAATTATTGCTATCTTCAAAAAAGTCATATTATCTATTGTTCTAGTGTGAAAGTGAAAGATTATAATACATAGTTTTACAGGGCAAACTAACATACTAGTAAAATGTTTCAAGAGCCTGTTGGAATTTCCTAATTCAACTGTTCTTAATATAATTTAATTTTTAAACCACAATCAAAGATGGTTTTCTGTTTAAATTAAAAGAATTTCCTAATTAACAACAACAAACAAAAACAAAAACAAACCAAAAAACAAAAACAAAAAAAACAACAACTAAATACTGCATTCTCCAGGGAACTATTTCAACTATCCCCTTCTGTATAGTTTTGTTATTACAGGAATATGTTTTAATATTTAAAATTTTTAAACTACTAAACATGATGCAGGATGTCATACTTCTGCCTGAGTTATTGGGATGAATACAATTTGGTATATGTGGTTACAGACTTTTGAAATTTCACTGCAATTGTAGCAGTTCTGTAAGTGCTGTGTCCTTTAGCACATGCGGGTACTAGAACAAAGGATGCAAACTTCTAAAAAATAAGTTATTTAATATTCTTAACCTCTTAAAAATCCCACTTACTTATTCTACTTAAACATTTTAAGAGTGTTTTTAAATATCTGAGTTCATTTCAAGGCATTTTCCTTACAAAAAAATATTTTATAGTCAAGCAATTTCCACACACCACCTATTTCCCTGCTTGATAAACAAAAGCCTTCACTTTCTATATTAACCCATAAATTTTTACTACTTTCATTAGTCAATAGAAAAATAAATTTATCCAGTGCTCCATTACTTGCATTTGACTATTTGAATAATCTCTGCTTATGCTTTTCCTAGAGTCAGAAAACCCGGCCATCACCATCACGGCATTGCTGGCTTCCTTGAATAGTTGCTGCAACCCCTGGATATACATGTTTTTTAGTGGCCATCTCCTGCAAGACTGTGTCCAAAGCTTCCTGTGTTGCTACAACATGAAGCGAGCATTCAACAAAGAAGATTCTGACAGTATGAGCAGAAGACAGACTTCTTACACTGTCAACCAGAGCCCGACAAACAGCATGGGTACGTGGAAGGACTCACCTAAATCTTCCAAGTTCATCAAATTCACTCCTGCTTCAACCTGAGCTCCTCAGTCATGTGACTGACTCTTGGGACAGACTTTCTTGCCCACTGGCTGAATCCAGCTCATCATCTTGAGAACAAATAAACTACATCAGATAAGCATATGCCGATTTGTTGGGTATAAGACTATGTTTCTGGTTGCATTTTCATATTGCTATGACCAAATGCTATGAATTGGTTTATATAGAATAATAAAAACATGCTACACTGCAATGTTCAGGCCTAATTCCCAGAAATATAACAAGTTCCTAAAGGAAATATAACAGACATTTCTAAAGGAAAAACCTTAACCATCCTGACTTTATATTTTGCTGTTGGTTTCTTCTCTTTTTATTTCTGATATAACTAAGGTTTGATTGGTTTAGAAGTCATATAACTTCTAAAGTGGGGGCCTTATTTCTGAACAAAGTGAGCTCACTATCCATCAGCGATAAGAGTCAAAAATGAATTAGAAAAGGCTTCAAAGGGGCGTGGCTGGTTCAAAGTGGAAAGAAGAAAGTTTTATTAGAAGCTATAAATCACCCCAAATTCCAAAACAGGAAGTTTAGAACAGGCAGTTCTCTCCTCTAGGTTCCTCATGCTTTGTTGGTTGTGAAATGCCAATGGACTAAGATGCTGAAGGTTATTATAGAAAAATGTGTCAACTCACTGACAATACTTTTCTTCTCCTGCAAGGTCGTTCTAAAGTCACATTTGTATCAGAATACTCAGTTTTATTAGAGAAGTAGAAATGGATTGCCCAAGGTACTATGCAGACTTTCTCTAGAATGTTTTGACCAGTGTCCAACTCTCACACTGCTATTGGAAAATAGGCCTTAAGACGGTTTGCTGGTTAATAACATGATCGTTACTTCATGGTTGGGGAGTCCAAATTCATAGATAAGAAAGTCTGCTAAAGAGGGACTCAGGATATATAATGTGCCCTCGCACTTAATTAAAAATAACTTGGTTTTTCCTTCCCATCTCCCACCCTTTGAACAGCGTGGGTAGAAGAAAGGCAGGGTTTCTCCAGGATGCTGAGGGAGATAGAAAGGCAAAACAAAACAAAAAATAACTGCTCTGCATCTCCTCTGGCTTTCTTCATTATTAAATGCATGGCGTTAGGCAAATTATTTAAAAATACATAAAGCCTCTATGTCCTTGGCTATACAATGGGGTTGATAACACTCTCCTCACAGAGTCATTGTGAGGACTAAATGAAATAAGTGTGTGAAAGATCTTTGTAAATAAACTGCCAACTGCTATACAAATGCTAGAGGATGTTTTATTTTAATCTTGGGGCCTTGAGAATAGCTCAGCCTTCTTCTGTTTACTTTTCATTAACCAGAATTTGTTGGTTTCATGTCTGGGATATAAAATATCCTAAAATTTAAATATAGCTTCGCTGATTCATTGGAAAGCACTGCCAGCGCAGCTGAGCTTGACTTCTGCCTGTTTCCCACTTTTTAAAAGACAGAACTTGCTTTCCTTTGAATGCAGGTAAATCAAAGCCAGCCGAAAGCATCAGTTTCTCTTATTCCCAAACAGAGATAAATCACAACACTGTTTGGCTGTTGTTACTGCATTTTTTATTAATGGAACTCACTGGGTTTGTTCTGCTATTTTGTTTGGCTCCTTTTCCTTCTTAGAGACCATGCAATAATTTGCGGATACATCGTAAATATTTTGCATCTCTTAAAGGAAGTAATAGTTATTTTAATAGCATTGTTGGTGGTTTTTTATTTTTATTTTTTAAAAAAAATAACTTTGTAGATAAAAACTGAGGACTGGATTGCATTGTGAGAACCTGAAACCAACAATTTCACCTGAAACCAACAAATTCTCAGGCCTTTCACTCCCTGGATTGATATACCTTTAAAAAAATGTTTGCAAATGTTTTATGAACATTAAGGCCTTCGGTCTTAGAAGTATACTTTTCAAAAATAAAAATGTTTCTTAAAGGGTACTCTCCAATATGAGGTATCAATTAAATCAATCAGCTCTTTATTAGTTGAGGAATGGCAGCATCTCAATCACCCTGCCTTCTGTAACAGTGTCAGCTTTTTGACAACTCCTCTTTGATAGTTCAAAAACTAAATGAATCCACTTCTTTTTTCTAAATCTAGTTGCAAAACAATAACCTCATGCTTCTTGTATAGTTTGCCAAATGTAAAACAATTCAGTTTCAATCTTACTTCTGGGAACATCTATCAAATCAGGTACATATCCCGCTCTGTTTTCTCCTTTTAAATGCATCAGGAGGTGAGATACAGAACAAAGGTTGGAGACCCCAGAAGATCCAGTGCTAGTTCTGCACTAAGCAAGTATAAGATCTCATTCTCTGTGGGTTAGGCTTGCAGTTAAGAATAAATGTGTTGTATCACTTTCTCTTATTTTGCAGAATTATTTGTTGGGAGACCCTGCAAGTACATCATAGTAATGTATCTACGTGGAAGTGGAGAAGTGATTGATAGATAATCACTGCAGGGAGAAACTGGTGGTATTGTCCACTGGGTATTTGACAAATATTAGTAGATATTGAAAAAAATAACATTTTAAAGTATATCATGTACTTAATGGATTAATTTTTGGACATGTATTTTCAAGGTATAAAACTACCCAGCTTTTATCTTAAAATATCATTTGGAACATAACTGTGGAAAAAAAAAACTAGTGAAATTCCATGGTTAACTACATACTTGTCATACATACAGAATTTCTATCATCATCAAAGCAGTCTTCAACCATGACTGAAGGAAGGGTGTGGTTTTTAAAGAGAAAAAGAAAAATCTAGTAATCCTAATAACATGCAGTTCCTTCCTAAACATGTTATAGTTCCTAGAATGGACAAACCATTGGTAATTAAAAAAACACAACTTTAATCTATGATAGCACAAGTAAAGCAATCCAATTATATTCAAGTTCTATAAACTTTAGATTCTAAAACACACATTTTTTTTGTAATGTAATTGGACACGTGGAGTTTTAATCATAGCTTCAGTGCTTTCTCTACCACGAAAGCATAATTAGGAGCTATCTAGAGAGACATGGAGCCTTGCCTCCACCCGGGTATTTGGTCCCCTTTCCGTCCACATGAACTGAGTCCTAATGGATTTTCATTCTGGAGGCAGGAGCTCTAGTAAAGTAAGCCCAGGCAGGGCAGCTGGGATGCTAATGCAGGGGGTGCAGAAGCAGCCATTCCCCACTTCCTCTTTCTCCTTCCCTGTGGCCCTTTTAGCACTCTCAGTGTCATTAGCAACACTTGGAATCATGAATAACACAGAACAATAAATACTAGAGAATAATTCTTTATTCAAATTTGAGCAAAAATATAAGAACTACTCATAAGAAGAGTTATCTTCTCAAGGCAACCGAAATGGGGCTGCATCACACAAATTGTGTGATTTCACTGCATACCTAAGCATTTGAAAAATATTGTTTTAAGTCAATTTTTAGATATAGTAATTTATCATGAATAAAGATATATTCTACCTATAGTATTCATATAAAAAATATATATTATGGCTAAATATTAAATGCCATTATTTACTTTTTTATTTTATATAATATAAACTCACATCACATCTTTTTATATTGATTTATATTCAAATAAAAATAAAGTGTCACAGAGCGAGTTAAATATTTTAGTGTCCCAGGGTCAAATTAGGGAATACAGAAGAGAAACTCTGAGAATAAATCTGATAGTAATGTCAGAATAATTATTAAGTATTAATGTGAAATAATTAGCACTTCCACACATAAAGGCAGTTATTTTTCTATCATGGGACTTATGACATATTCTATGGTGTATTAGCTCCTCATTATAACAAAGGTATTAAGAATTAATGTTGTTCAAATGTTCTATATCCCCTAGCTTATTATGCTATACAGATGAGCTTGAATGTGTATTCTTGGGGAAACTGTAAGATTCTGGTTTTGATGGATGTTGAAATGTTTTGTAATTGTACCTAATATTTGGTTCTTTTTTGAAAAAAAAAGTCTTGTGGCATTATAATGAAATAAGTGGTGAATTTCTTTCTTAATTTTACTGTGTAATGGCTTGATTCTATAAATAAAAATAAATCTCAAAGTTGTTTGAAATAATTTTTTACAATCTAGTTTAGTGATGAAATATATTTCGATTTATGCTGATTTTGAACAACTCAAAGAAATGCTTTACCGCTGGTAGCTACTGATAGCTTTACCTGTGAATACAAAGATGTTTTTGTTTATATTATTTAAAAAATATATTTTATTGATTTTTTTACAGAGAGGAAGGAGAGGGAGAGAGAGTTAGAAACATCGATGAAAGAGAAACATCAGCTGCCTCCTGCACACTCCCTACTGGGGATGTGCCCAAAACCAAGGTACATGCCCTGAAACAGGATTGAACCTGGGACCCTTGAGTCTGCAGGTCAACACTCTATCCACTGAGCCATACCGGTTAGGGCATTGTTTACATTCTTTAACTGTATCTAGAACAGATGAAACATCAAAACTGCCTTTTCAGTACAATAATTAAAGCAAGTTAATTTTATTTTAGTCTGTATTAAGACAAAATAATCAGTTAACTGAGGTCAGGTATGTCATCCTAGCCTAAAAATGTCATCTCCATCCATTTACCTCTACAAGTTGGTGAGATTGAATTCTGGGCTTCTAGATCAAGTCTCTTTCCTGTTTCATAGTCTTTAAAATTGGAATTCAAATCACATTAAGTTTCAATTTATTTTTTTTTCTTTGACAAGTTAAACCCTAATAGCATGAACTAAAAGGCTTATTTTGGGTTTGGCTTAAATTCTAGAAACAGTGAATGCCCAGAATGGAAGAAAGGGAATCTGAAATCTCTATTTTAAAATACTGTTATTCTAGAACTCACTGTTATTTTAATAGACTTATAAGTGCTTAAGAATAAACAAGATTTCTAACAAAACATGTTTTTAAAAGGTCCTATCAATCAGGTAAAATTGAACTAATAGCTCCATTGTATACCAGAAGATACTCATATAAAGAAATGCAGCAGTGA